CAAGAACCTATGGGATACAGCAAAGGCAGTTTTAAGAGGTAAGCTTATAGTTTAAAATGCCTACATCAAAAAAGTAGAAAGATTTCAAATAAACAACCTAATGTAATACCTCGAAAAACTTGAATAACAAAAACCAAATTCAAAATTAGTAGCTGTATAAGAGATAGGCAATATTAAGCCGCTCACTGGCTGAGCAAGGTGCGGGCGCAACACCGAGGGTTGCGATCCCGTTGCCGGTCCTGGTCCGGTACGGGCGCGACACTGAGGGTTGCGATCCATTGCCAGTCACGAAAAAAGACAAAAAGAGAAAAAACAAACAAAACAAAAAAACAAAATTAGTAGGAGAGAAATAACAAAGATCAGAACAGAAATAAATGAATTCAAGATTTAAAGAACAATACTAAAAGTCAATAAAACAAAGAGTCTGTTTTTTGAAAAGAGAAACAAATTCAATAAATGTTAGAAAGACTAAGAAAAAAAGAGAGACGGCTGAAAATCAGAAACGAGAAGGGACACATTACAACCGATACCACAGAAATACAAAGAATCACAAGAGACTATGAAGAACAACTATATGTTAATAAACTGGAAAATCTAGAAGAAATGGATAAATTCCTGGACACATACAACTTACCAAGGTTGAATCATGAAGAATTAGGAAACATCAACAGATAAGCAACAAGTAATGAGACTGAAGCAGTAATAAAAATTCTTCCAACCAAAAAAAGCCCAGGACCAGACGGCTTCACTGTCAAATTGTCCCCAACATTTAAAGAACTAATACCAAATTTTCTCAAACTCTTCCAAAAACTTGAAGAGAAGAGAATACTTCCAAACTCTTTTTAAGAGGCCAGCATTACCCTCATACCAAAACTGAAAAAGAACACAACAAAAAAAGAAAACTACAAACCAATATCCCTGATGAACATAGATTCAAATATCCTCAAAAAATACAACCAAATCCAACAAAACATTGAAAAGATCATTCACCATGATCAAGTGGGATTCAAATCAGAGATGCAAGGATGGTTCAACAAAGGCAAATCAATAAATGTGATACATCACATCAATAGAATGAAGGGAAAAAACCATATGATCATTTCAATAGATGCAAAAATAGCATTTTATAAAATACAATACTCCTTCATTAAAAAAAAATTCAACAAATCAGGTATAGAAGGAAAGTAACCTCAACACAATAAAGGCCTTATACAACAAACAACAGCTAATATACCAAGGATGCCCACTTTCCCCACTCTTATTCAATATAGTACTGGAAGTTCTAGCCACAGAAATAAAGCAAGAGAAAGCAATTAAGGGCATGCAAATTGGAAAGGAGGAAGTCAAACTATCACCATTTACAAATGACATGGTCACATATACAGAAAACCCTAAAGATTCCACCAAAAAATTGCTAGAATTAATAAATTCAATAAAGTGGCAGAAAACAAAATCAATATACAAAAATCAATAGCCTTCCTATACACCAATAATAAAATACCTAGAAAAAAAAAATCAAGAAGTTATTTTATGGGCCGGCCCGGTGGCGCACTGCTATAGTGCACCGCTTGGGAGCGCGGCGGCGCTCCCGCCGAGGGTTCGGATCCCACATATAGACCAGTTCCCGCTCACTGGCTGAGCGAGGGGCGGGCGCAGCACCGAGGGTTGCGATCCCGTTGCCGGTCCTGGTCTGGTACAGGCGCGACACTGAGAGTTGCAGTCCGTTGCCGGACACGAAAAAAAGACAAAAAGGAAAAAAAAAAAAAAAGAAGTTATTTTATTTGTGATAGCTACCAAAAAAACAAAATACTTAGAAGTAAATTTAACCAAGGAGGTAAAAGGTCTTGACAATGAAACGTATAAAACATTGATGAAATAAATCAAAGACGACACAAGTAAATGGAAGGATATCCCGTTCATGGGTTAGAAGGATTAACACCATCAGAATGTCCATATTACCCAAAGCACGCTACACATTCAACACAATCCCTATCAAAATACCAATGACATTCTTCACAGAAATAGAAAAAATGATCTTAAAATTTGTAATGAACCACAAAAGATCCCATTATAGCTAAAGCAATCTTGAACAAAAAGAACAAAGCTGGAGGCATCACACTACCTGAATTCAAAATATACTACAAAGTTATAGTAACCCAAACAGTACAGAACTGGCATAAAAACAGACAAATAGACCAATGGAACAGAATAGAGAGACTGGAAATAAATCCAAGCATTTACAGCCAACTGATTTTTGACTAAAATGTCAATATATAGGGAAGAACAGTCTCTTCAATAAATGGTGCTAGGAGAACTGGATATCCATGTGTAGTAGATTGAAACTAGATCCCTATCTCTCACTATACACAAAAATCAGCTCAAAATGTACTAAAGACTTAAATTTAAAACATAAACATATGAAACTACTAGAAAAAAACATAAGGGATATGCTACATGAAATCTGACTGGGCAATACTTTTTTAAACAAGACTTCAAAGGCACTTAAAAAGCTTCTGCACAGCAAAAGGAACAATCAACAAAATGAAGAGACAACCTACAGAATGGAAGAAAGTATTTGCAAACTATTAAGTAAGCCAGGCATAGAAAGACATATACTGCATGATCTCACTCATATGTGAAACACACAAAAAAAGTGGTTCTCATAGAAGTAGAGAGTAGAATAATGATTACCAGAGAATAAAAAGGGAAGGATAGCATGGGGAGGGGAAGGGCTGGATTAATGCGTATAAAGTTACATGCAGATTGGAAGAATAGTTGTGGTGTTCTAGGCTGACTGTAGCCAATAATATCATATTGTATATTTCTAAATAGCTAGAAAAGAGGAACTTCAATGTAATTACCACAAAGAAAAGATAAATGTTTAGGTAATGAATATGCTATCTGTCCTAAGTGAATTACTGTACAACATATGCATGTACTGAAACAACACACTGTATCCCACAGATACGCACAATTAAAAAAAATTTTTTTGGCTTGCTGGTTGTCTCGGTTGGCTAAAATATGGTGCAGATAATACCAAGGCCAAAGGTTTGGATCCACATACTGGCCAGCTGCCAGTATAAATAAAAATAAATATGTAAATAAATATATATATATATTTTAAAGGATACAAGACACAAACAATTACAAAATAATTTTGAATACGCTTACTTAAAGGGGTATATTGGCCAAGAGTAGATCTCACTCGTCTCGTTGATGGTGATGAGCTGAGATAACCCATATTGCGATGATAGTCCATCAGTTGTTCTGAGCGTTTCATACCAACAGTTGGTTTTACAGTTTCAAGCCTTTTCAATAAAGCCTTGGTTAAAAACAATTGATTTGAAAGATAATGTTAGATAAACAGCAATCGTTTTTAAAAAGGCAAATACTTTCTAGAACCTGAAATTCACTAAAGCAGAAAAGATTGCAAATCACTCCTGACATGCCATGAGAAAAACATATTTCAAATTACATACTTTCAGAAAAATCCATGGGATTTTGCCCATCCTGTAGCTAAACAAACCACTATAATTTAACAACTCATTAAAGGTATATCTCTCTTTTATGTCAGGTTACAAACTTAAGGAATGGTGCTGTAAGCTGAAATAAAACTGATTTTCTCATACAAATGACATAATGGGAGTTATAATGCTAACAGCTCAGGTGTTAAAACCTAGAAATGACCAAACATATCCAAGCTACTATAAATTCTATATATGTATATTATAGAGCAGCAGCTTGCAACCCATTTATTTCACAGCAGTGCCTCAAGCGCTACTAGGATACTGAGGAAAGATGAAGTCTCCCACCCCTAATTTCTACCAACCCAACTATGCTTTCTGTATTACCTATTTTATATACTAAAGATTCTGCATAAAATTTACTTTGGGGGAAAAATTTTTTTTGCTGTTAAGTAGTTTGAAAACCAATTACTATAGAATATAAAGCTTTTAAAAGGATATATAAACCAACTGGCTAAGGCCACAAAGTATCCAGTAACATGGTATTTCCTTTAATATGACTCAGTAGCAGAGTCTAATGTATAATGTTCCTAATTTTGTTTATAATTCTTTCTTAGATCATAAGGTGAAAGAGTTTCTTTCGCTTGATTTTCCCAGGCACTGTTGAGAAGGAATATTTAGGTAAGTAGACCAATGGCTTGGGGATTGATCCATGATCGTGTTTATTACTATTTTGTTTACTGATTTAAACTTTCTCTGAAGCAAGCTGATCTTTATTTGAAAGGGGAGTGCTGCTATGCACTAAAATTTACATTAAAAAATTAGCCTATGAATTCATAGGACAACTTTTCGCTATAGTCTTTTTTTCTTCCATTTATTGTGGTAAAACATACATAAAGTTGACTATTTTAACAATTTTAAAGTGTAGTTTGGTGGCATTTAGTATATTCACACTGTTGTGAACCATCACCACCAGCCATTTCAAAAATGGCTGTGACTTTTTCACAGCTTAATGGTTTGCTCTTACCAATTTTACTTCCTGACCTTCTATTCTGAGTTTCCTGACCAATTCCAAAGAAGGGATAGATGGTGGTAGGATAAGCCAAAGCATTCAGGGGAAGAGCTGTTCAGAGAAGGGAGAAAAGGAGGGTGTTGTAGAAACACACAGAGGCTTGGAGACAAACAAGAGGCAGAGGTGAAAAACATATGAAAAAGTAGACAGACAACTGAGAGAACTTCATTACTGTTGGCCTACCTGCTAATTTTTTTCTTTTTGCATAAAATGCCCTTTCTCAGTTTTTAGCCTTCAAAAGCTAGAAAAGTCAACTCTTCAGTGAAGTCATACCCAACTAGAGTTAGTGGTTCTCTGCTGAGCTGAGGTTTATGATTTAAACATGGTTTCAACTGTAAAGTATATGGTCTTTTTGTAGACAGAGAAGCTGTATAATTTAGGTGCCCAAACCTCCTAAGATTATATCTTCTCTACCTGCAGTTTATAACTGTGCAAGAAACTTCCTATGTATCACATCTTCTATGTATTTTACATGGGAGAGTAACATTTTCTGTTTTCTCTGATTATCCTATCAACTACCCACGGAGTTGTGCAGGAGTGGAAAAGAGAGGACAGAAAACTTGATATTTTCAGTTATCTTAATTTTGCTTTTTGCTGGTGGAAATCTCAGTGTTTATTAAACACCCAATTTCCTACATTTATTTATTTGATTGCATGTGTATTTTTCTTTTTTTTAATTTTAAGAAAATTACAGTGCTTATTCATTAGATGAAAAACAATATAGAATCAATTTTGAAATAATTTGATGATAAGGCAAGGAGTAAACCCATAGGGATGGCCGGTCTGCTCCCTGGCTGAGCGTGGTGCTGACAACACCAAGCCAGGGTTAAGATCCCCTTACCGGTCATCTTTAAAAAAAAAAAAAAAGAAGTAAACCCATTCTGTAGTCTATGCCAATTATCAAGTTCACATGCAGAAACCTAGAAAAATAAGAGAAATGATTTGGCTCAGCTATCCAAATCACATGGAGCCATGCCATGTATCTGTCTGCGTGTCATTTGAATACAATAAGCTATGAAAAAGCTAAAGAACAATTTGAGAAATAGCTAGAAATAGCTAGAAACAACATCAAAATATGAAGTGCTGATTACAGTGTAAACCCTAAAATCAAAAGTATATACATTCTGAGGCCGGCCCGGTGGCGCACTGGATAAGTGCGCCACTTGGGAAGTGCGGCGGCGCTCCCGCCCAAGGGTTCGGATCCCACATACAGACCGGTTCCCGCTCACTGGCTGAGCGAGGCGCGGGAGCAGCACCGAGGGTTGCAATCCCGTTGCCGGACACGGAAAAAGATAAAAGACAAAAAAAAAAAAAAGTATATACATTTCAATTTAGTCATCAATTTAGAACAAATAGGTAAAACTTAAAAATGATAGCTCCAAATTCTGTAACAATTTGTAATAGAGTGATAAAGAACGGCGCTCCCGCCCGAGGGTTCGGATCCCACATACAGACCGGTTCCCGCTCACTGGCTGAGCGAGGCGCGGGAGCAGCACCGAGGGTTGCAATCCCGTTGCCGGACATGGAAAAAGATAAAAGACAAAAAAAAAAAAAAAGTATATACATTTCAATTTAGTCATCAATTTAGAACAAATAGGTAAAACTTAAAAATGATAGCTCCAAATTCTGTAACAATTTGTAATAGAGTGATAAAGAATGCAAGCTATCTAGTCAGAAAGAGCTGGACTTAAATCCTGGCTCTGCCACTGACTGTGTGTCCTTGGTTAAATTAGTTGATAGGAATATTAACAATGGAACCATCTCAAAGAGCCAGATAAGTGAGATGATGTATACAAAGTGCTCACAACAGTGCCTGGCATCTAGTAAGAACTTTCTAAAATTAATACTATCCTTAATATTGCTTTGTACTATTTTCTAGTTGTTTGACCTGCAATACTATTATCTTCCCCGCTAAGTTAATAAATTACATGACAGGGTGGTATTCTAAATTTTTCTTATATTCCTTCCAGTGTCTTACATAGTTCATAGCAGACATTAAATAAATATTTTTTTAAGAAATTGAAAAATGGTAAGAATGGCTATTTATAATCTAATTTATGGTTTATAAAATCTTAGAACTTTCACCCAAATCAGATTCTAATAACGAATAACACAACAGTTTGTCCAAATGTTTTTAAAAACTGTTGATATATGCATACACTGTAAAATGTTCACCACAATCAAGCTAGTTAACATATCCACCACCTCACAATAACTATTTTTTTGTGTGTGTGATGAGTGAGAACACTTAACATTACGAACACTTAGCAAATTTTAGGTACACAAGGTATAACAGTTCCAGTTATCCAAGAAAGTAAGTTCTGGAGATCTAATGTATAGCATGATGACTATAGTTAACAATACTGTATTGTACACTTATCCAAATATTTCTTTTCTATCCCAGAAGTATCATACCTTTTGAAAAGAAAATTAACCCAGCCTGTATTCTGCCCATCTTCTGATGTAGAAAGATTTAAATAAGTGAATGAACAAATAATGTGTAGGTAGAATAGCCACTAGACATTAATGGTTTTAACTTTTCAAAAGTAAACCCAGGTTCCTTAAAAAGCTAAATACAGAATTATCATACGACCCAGGAATTCCACTCTTAGGTACACCCAAAGTTACTAAAAGCAGGGATGTGAACAGATATTTGTATTTCAATGTTCACTGCAGCACCATTCATGATAGCCAAAAGGCAAAAACAACCCAAGCATTCATCAACGGATGAATGAATAATCAGAATGTGGTATATACCTACAATAAGATATTATTCAGCCATATAAAAAGGAATGAGGTTCTGATACATGTGACATCATGGGTGAACCTTGAAAACATTATGGTAAGTGAAATAAACTAGAAACAGAAGGACAAATATTGTATGAACCCACTTATATGAAATATCTAGAATAGCCAAATTCATATAAACAGAAAGTAGATCAGAAGCTATAGGGGATGAGGGGGAGTGGGAATAGAGTTTAGTAGGCACAGAGTGTCCGTATGGAGTGATAAAAAAAAAGTTTAGAAATAGATAATGGTGATGGTCAAATAACATTGTGAATATACTTAATGCCAATGAATTATACACTTAAAAATACTTAAAATGACAAATTTTGTGTTACATATATATTTTTTACTATAACATAAAAGAAAAATAGCAAAAACCACTGAATTGTACATTTTAAATAAGTATGGTATGTGAATTATATCTCAATTAAGCTGTTAAAAAAAAAGTAACCCCACAGAGGTAACCTGAATTTGAATCTGGACTCTGCCACCTGCTAACTATTTGACCTTGAGCAAGTCCCTGTGTCCCACTTGGTATCTTATTTTCTCCTCCATAACAATAGTAACTATGCTATAAGGTTGCTATGTAGATTAAATACATTTGTAAAACAGTATGCACTATGTAACTGCTTATTAAATAAAATAAAACAGGATCCGGAGCCATGTGGGACAGAGAAATTGAAGTAAACCCAAATGTTTGTGACATATGGTAATTTCAAATTTTCCTAAAACATGAATGAATCTTAAATATTGCTAACATGATGTGCAGAAAGCTGAAATGTAGCTCACCACCCACCAGCTTCATTTCAACTTGCTTTGTTGTTATCTATTCCTTGCCACATGCACGGTAACCCTCCCGAGGGTTTAAGACTATTATTTTTTCGGGGCCGGCCTGTGGCTCACTCGGTAGAGTGCGGTGCTGATAACACCAAACGCTATGGTATAACTGTGGGGGATGACCAATCAATCTTCTAGGAATTGTACTTTTGCTTCC